CTTCAGAACCTGCCCAGGGTGGTGCACACAGCAGGTGCTCTGTAAGCGCCCTGGCCCGCGGCCTGCCCCCCCCCCCCCCCCCGGGTGTTACCAGGCTGTTGAGAACTGAGGATGGTTGGAGGCCCGTTACCCTACAGAGGAAACCAAGTTGTTTCCGCTGTGAATGGCGGGTTCAGGCACCACCAGCTTTTCTCGGAGCTGCTGCTGTCTAGGAGGGACCCGCCTGCCGGGGTGGGGCCCCACCCTGGTACTCCCCTGCCCAGTTCACTTCTGCTTTTGTCTGTATTACAGAAGGCAGCAGCAGGAGGACGGCCCAGGGTCCCGAAGTCCAGGGGTGAAGACCTCGCAGCCGGGGCTCCCCCAGGCCCTGTGGGCCGCCTGGAGGCTTCGGCCGCCGCTGAAGGCCTCCATCCCCAGCGCCAGGGTTTCCCCAGGACGGGGCATGAGGCCAAGCGTGGGGGGCTCCGAGCTGCAGCCTCTGCCTTGGCGGGGGGAGCGCAGAGTGATCTCAAGCCCTCCCCCATGCCCACCCTCCATCAGGGCCCCCCCAGCACCATGAATCCTGGTGGGGAGGGGTCGGCCTGTGCCTTACGGGGTGTGTAGGGTCATGGGTAGACGTTCCCACAGACGTCAGGAGCATCCGCCCCAGCTGTGAAACCCAAGAATGTCTCCAGGAAGGCTAGATGCGCCCCTGGGGGAGACATCGCCCTGGTCGGGGATGTAGGGCCTGACCGTGTTGTGAGGGGGTGGGGGTGGCTGGGGGTCTCCTTGAGGCAGGAGGAATCCAGCAGGAAGGACCGAGTTTTCATTTCCCATCTGCTGCTGACCTTGGCAGGGAGACCTGGGGGAATGAGCCAGCAAAGGAGGTGCGCGCTGGGGCACCATGTTCTGTGAGACTTGCTGGCCGCCCGGCCACGTGATGCTCCATGCAGAGTCTCCATGGCTGCCTGCCTTCCGCTGGGCGTCTGGACAGAGCTTCCTGCAGCGGCCAGGGGAGAAGGGGCCTGGGTGCTCTGGGGGATTCTTAGGTCCTTCTGTGTCCGGGGCAGTCGGGATGTCCTCCAGCAGTGTTCCATGAACTTCCTGGGTCTGTGGCTTCACACGCAGCCCAAGGGTGTGCTCATCTGCCGTCTGTCCCTCCAGAGCCCGCTGCCCCCTGCTGCCCCGGCCGTCCTCTGCCCCCGGACGGCACCCACACCGTGAAAACCCCAGCTTTCTTCCATAGCTTTGTCGTCCTGTTTCCCACCTGCTTCGTGACCCCCTGGTGCGGGCCTTTCTGTGTGCAAGGAACCCTTGTTGTGTCCCAAACGCCCACCCAGGAGTGGCCCTGAATGGCAGGCCGCTGGGTCTGCGCACACTCTTCTGAGAGCGGTTCCTGCTGAGGGGGTCTGCTCAGAGGACAGTGGGCTCGGGAGCACCAAAGTAAATTGGGTGTGGACACCGCCACCCGCGGGGCTCGCCCACTGAAGGGAGGAACAGATGGGCCCGCAGCAGGTCACTCCAGCAGGACCCGGCGTGGCTGTGACCCCTCTGCTGGGCTCTGGGGTCCTCGGTGCCCCCAGTAGATACTGGTGAACGTGCAACCCCAAAATGTCAGCCAGCGTGTCGCTTGGCACCTGCTGCTATGAGCAGATGGTTCTTCCTCCAGCAGCGTTCGGCATCACTACCTCCCCTGGAGGCCGGAGTCCTGTCCAGGGGCGCAGAGGCTACAGTTGCCGCTCATGCCAGTGGGCCTGGAGTCGTGCGGTGACGGCGTCAGTCCTCCGCAGCCATCCTGCTTCCAGGATGAGGCCCGACAGCAGGGGCTTTCCTGCGGTTTCCACGGGGCCCCTTCTCGTCCATCAACCCTTCAAGGGTCTCCCCCAGACCCCCCCTCCCCAGCTCCTCTGGACCCTTTCCTCATCCGGGGGCGCTTTCATCCCTGGGCCTGGCCGTGTGCCCCCCACCCACCTGCCCCCGGGACCTGTCCTCGCCAAAGCAAAGGTCAAAGCAAAGCAGGTGACCCCGTGTGCCAGGCATGCCGTGCCCCGTAAGCTGTGCGCCCCTTCTCGCTGAGGAAGAGCACAGGCATGGACGTGCTCAACGAAGATCACATTCCCCAGCCCCTCCCGCCCCACCCCCGCGGCCAGGCATGGCCCCAGCCCCGCATTCCGGAGGTGGCAGGACCAGGAGTCTGGGCGGGAGTTCTGGGATGTCTCCCCAAAGCAGAGGGGCTCAAACACTGTCTGCCCTCTTCCTTCCCGACCCCTGAGGCACAGAGGAGGAGGCTGCGGGTCGTGATGAGGGCGGCCCGTCCTGGGCTGAAGGAGGACCCTCGGTTCCCACTCAGCAGGTGCCGGGTCAGAGGAACAGGGCCCGAGAAAGAGACTTTCAGAATCACTGAGCGCTCGGGGTGGTCCCTCTCAAAAGCCCCGTTCCGCCCCCAGCCTCTTCCCTCTCAGGGCGGCTCTGTTCGGAACTGCCCCGAAAACCCCTTCCGGGCTAGTGCCCGGGGGAACTCCTGCCCTCTTCTGAGGACCACGGGTCGCCTGGAAACCCCAGCAGCCCCCTGCCTTCCTCTCCTCCGGCCTCTGAGTCTGAAGAGCCCTGCCCCAGGGAGCGGGGGAGACGGCGGGAGCTGTCAGGGCGGCCGGCGAATGCAGGTACCATAAGAAGACACCGAAAGAGACAAGCCCTACGGTCAACCCCGCAGAGGTGGGGGGACCTGGGTCCTGGGACAGTTTCAGTATCTTCCAGAATGATGAATGTGGTCCACTGAGACCCACGGAGGGCCTGGAGCCTGGTGCCCCCAGCTCCCCAGCAGCAGACAGGAGACGTCAGCCCAGGGCCCACCGACGAGCACGGACGGGGGGACGTGGTCTGTCCACACGAGTGAGGCTGCTTCTCTGTCTGCCCCTCCCCCCGCTTGGGCCCGCTCGCTCTCTCAGGTGAATAAATCGAATCTCAAAGAACAAAACAAAAACAAAAATCTCTAAGTCCTTAAGGACACTCAGAGACTCGAAGTCCGTAGCTGCCCATGGAGGATGTCCCCACCGGCTGGGGGTGTCGTCCGCCTCTGGCCGATGGGAGAGCTCTTGGAGGCTGTGTCTGGGTGAGGCCTGTCCACGGTCTTCACACCGGCTGAGTCTAGGCGGTGGCTACAGGAGGGCTTGTTCCGTTCCCTCCTCCTCATTAGGAAGACTTCACAGGCTGGGAGGAGGGACCCCCCCGTCTGGGTACGCAGATGTCCCCGAGACAGCCAGGAGCAGGGCGGTAGGAGAGAGCTGTCACCGCACACCCTTTCGTACCCTCTGAAATTCAAATCCGTAGGACCCGTTTGAAATGGAGAGAGCAGGAGCGTGGCACTGTAGTCGGGATAAAGGAAGAGCCCCTCCAGGTCTCCTCGGCACCTGCCCGGCCAAAGTCAGGAAGTAAGTGACCCACCCCAGGGTATCGTCGGGAGGCTGTGGGTCCCCCTTCCCTCTGCCTGGAAGACGGTCAGCCCTCAGGCATAGGGCCCAGACACCTTGAGCTCATCCCTGGTTCTCTGCAGCCGTGTCCTCTCCGGGGGGCCTTCCTCCCACACCCCTCCTTTGCCCCTCAGGAAGTCGTGCCCTAGAAGAGATAATGCAAACCCTCGGGCTGGAGGGGGCCCCACTTGAATCCGTGGCCAGCCTTGACCCCCAGCCATGGCTCGGAGGGGACACTGGTCCGGGTTGTGCTCCACATCTGAGCAGGGGTCCCGAGGGGAGCAGGTCCCAGAGGAGGGCCTGGGCCACGAGCACAGACACCCAGTGTCCCTGGAGACCCCTGGCCCAGCTGGCCTGGTGTGGGCTCTGCTTCTGCTGAGGCTCTGCCTCCCACGTGTCCCTGGGCCTCTGGTGGCCGCTGCCAAGGGACGACGGGTCTCAGGCCCACCCACAGCCTTCACTCGGACAGCTGCCACCCTTCGAGGTAGAGCCGTCCTGGGCCCGAGGGAGGGCAGTGGCCAGACCCGGGCGGGGGTTTCTGGAAGCCTGAGGGAAGCCCTACGCTCAGACCTATACCCACTCTGTGCCCCACTTTCTCGGTACACAGCAGCTGCCCACACCCGTGAGACGTCGCTGCTCGGGGCGGGGCTGAGCCTGAGAGCCACCCAGAGCCGCAGGACCCTGCAGCCGGCGGCGGACAGTGACCTGAACATGTCCTGGAGACAGTGTGGAGTGGGGGCGCACCTTCCCAGGGGTGTGCATGTGCCCGGGGTGGGCCACCGCCGACCATCCCTGCCGCGGGGGGGCACCGATCACCTCGGAGCTGTGGTGGTCCAAGAGCCAGGCCTGAGTCAGGCCTTGGTGGTGGGAGATGTGGTTTTGTCGCTCCTCAAAGCCCAGAAGCAGCTCACCGGGCAGAGGTGAGGTACGGCAGGGGGCCACCGGCAGCCCAGGGCATTTTCTAAGGAGAATGGGGTGGGGGCGTTTGGATCCAAGATGCTCTTGCCGTGGAGTGGGACAAGCAGCCGCGTCTGCCAGGACTGGGCAGTGCCTTGGTGAGGGATGCTGTGTCCCGGGGAACCCATGCGGCCCCTCCCAGAGAAACCCCCCTCAGAGTCCCTGCAGAGTCCCTGGGCACGGCTGCGATCAGCTCTAGAGGGCCAGGGCTGGAGCCAAGGACAGAATGTGTTGGCCCCTTTCCGCTGGTGGGACCCCACGCCAGGACAGAAGCGGAGAGGGCAGGTACCACGTGACATGGCTGGGGCTGTCCCGGGGGCAGGACGAACAGGGAGGGGTGCTGGGACAGGAGTTGTCTTGGGGCCACCGTGAGCAGAGCCCGAGCTGGAACTCCTCTCCGAGGGTCCCTCCCCGTGCCCCACCCCATCACGTCTGGAGGACTTGGCACCGGCAGCTCGCTTGAGCCGGGCCCCCGTCCGTCCCGCCCTAGCTGGGAGGAGTGTCTCTGCGTGTCGGCACAGCCCCGAGGAGAAGTGTGTCTGCACCGGTGTTTCCTGCATCTGCCCCGGGAAAGTTCCGAGGCATCAGCTAGATGGCACCTCGGCCAAACCCATGACAGTTTATGGTGGGGGAGTTGGAAAGGAAGAAGTAGGACCCTGCTACTTCCGGAAAGTTCTCAGCTGGGCCTACAGAGCGTGAGTGTGAGGTTTGCCTCCCTGAGTAAGTCATGGGCTCCACGTGCTGGGGGGCAGTGGGGTGGGGGGGCAGTGTAGTGACAGGTGGGGTCTAAAAGCAAAGGCGATTGGTTGGCGTAAACGTGGGGACTTGATTGGGGTCTCAGTCTGGGGTCCTTCCCTGGGAGAGAAGCCAGGGGCACCCGTGTGTACCGATGGGGGAGGGCAGAAGGGAGTGGGGGTGACAGGGACGGCAGCTTCTGTCTGCACCCTGAGGTCTCTGCCAGCCTGAGATGCCCCGCCGTGACGTTCTCACCATGGCCGTGGCCCCTGGGGCCAGAGAGAGTTCAGGGGCCTGTTTGTCCCTGGAGCCTTCTGGGTGCGGCAGGGTTGTGGCAGGTTCTCGGGGGGTGGGGGGTGGGGGGATGTACGAGGCTCCCTTGCCTCCAGGGGCTGCCTGGCCCGAGGGCACGTGGCCAAGAGGAAGGACAGGAGGGACAGTGAGGTCTCTGCCGGGGGCATGGCCGGCCTGGTCACAGGACATGGTCCTGGGGCTGGGTAGCCGGCAGCCCTCTCAGGACGCTTTCTGGTGCGGGGCGTGGGCCAGCAGGGTGTTCCCGTGTCTGCCGAGAAGGGTGGGCTGGCCACCGAGGGCAGGGAGTCGGGCTACACTGTTCTTTCTGGCTTGTCTGTGCTCAGGAGGGTGACGAGGTGATGTTTTAGGGGACCGGCCAGGTGGAGGGCAGACGCAGAGTCACCTCAGGCGGGGGGACAGGACAGGTGAGGATGGACAGGGCGCGGGATGTCAGCCTCATTACCAACAGAAGAAACGCAAATGAGACTTTAGAAATCTTTTAGAAATCTCTGGGGCGGGGTCGCCTGGCTGACGTGGGATCAAGCCCCATGCTGGGCGCAGAAATTACTAAAAAAATCTACCCGAATGGGAAGAAGAGAAGTGGGGAGCCCATGTGCATGGTGTGCCTTTGGGGCCGACGACTTGGCAACTCCGTCCCCAGCGTTTACCCCAAACACGAACACAGATATGGAGTCAAGGGGGCGCCCGGGGGGCTCCTCGGTGAAGCGTCTGCTTTGGGTCATGATCCCAGAGTCCTGGGATCGAGTCCCACGTCGGGTTCCCTGCCCGGCTGGGGGCCTGCTTCCCCCTCCGCTGTTCCCCCTCCTTGTGCTCCGTCTCTCTGTCAAACAAATAAAATCCTGAAAGGAAGGAAGGAAGGAAGGAAGGAAGGAAGGAAGGAAGGGAGGGAATCAAGGATTGGGTGTAGGATGTGGGGAACTTGGAAGAACCCAGAACGTCCCACCGTGGTACGTGGTACAGACGGTCCCGGCCCTGGGGGTTTCAACAACGGTCAGGAGGGGACGCCGCTGGCACGAACGTCAAAGAGCCGAAGCAGGGTGAGACGCCCGTGCCTCCGGCTCTGCTCGAAAAGCCGCGCAACACAAGGTAAAGAATGTATCTTGAAAGGCTCGAGGGCCGGGCTGCAAATCCAGGGCGCGGTGCGGGGGACAGAGGCCATGAAGGCAGGGCTCCTCTCCGGGGACAGTGGGCCCATCCAGCAGCACTGTGAGCCGGCCCCCGGCTCGTGGGCTCGCGGGGGGAGGCACGCTGGGACCCGCGAGATGAGACGGGGCAGGGGGACCTGGTGCAGCTGGAGGCGGAGAGGTGTGGTCTGGCCAGGAGGACGCGGGGTTCACGGGCTCCCGGGGATGTCGAGGCACGTGTGTCCAGGGCTGGCAGGGGACCAGGGGCAGGGGGAGGGAGACCTTGGGATGGCCTGGGCCCACCCACCCCATCACTCTGTGGCTACCGCAGCTCCCGCAGAGCACAGCCCGAGCGCAGCCCGAGCACAGGGCCTCCCGGGGGTCAGGCCCAGGCTGGCGTTGCAGCTGTGGTTGGCTTGTCCCTCCCTTGGGAGCAGCCAACCGCTGAGTCGGGCCGTCCCATGGGGTCTGTCATTCTACCTGCCCTGCTGTGGAGACCCGTCTCTGTGGATCCCCAGGACGGCCCGCCGCTGGCCTGGGGTAGCACAGGGGCTGCCCCCCATAGCCCTTGTCCCCCAACTCACCATCGGGACTGGCCCAGGGAAGAGCCAAGCTGCTTTGGGGCAGGGACACTGGGAGGGAACAGAGTACCGCCACCCCAACCGTTCTGGGCACTGAGGTCAGCACCTGGGCCTGGGCCGTCCCGCATTCTAGCCGCAGGATGGCGCAAGGGCCCTAACCCTAACCCTGGGCCGCTCTGGGGCCTGCTCGTCTCGGAGGGCTGGGGAACACAGGAAGTATGAGAAGGTAGGGGCAGTCGGGCGGTGGGCAGGGGAGACAGGAAACAGGTCCAGGAAGGAGGCCCACGGGCGAAGGTCAGAAGCTGCGCATCCCTCGGGCGGGGAACAGGACAGGCTCTGGGGAGCAAGGCACGGGCAGCTAGACAGTTAGGCGGCGGCGGTGGGTCAGCGGTGCTCGAAGTCAGAACATCCTGCAGGGCTAGGACCCCTCTCTCGGGCCACCCCCACACCCAGCTGTCTGGCCTGGGCCTGGTGCTGGCCCTAAGGCTCTTTCGGGGTTGTCCCTCCCTGTCCCCGTCCCTTCTGTCCAGCCAGGCTGGCCCCAGACCTGGACACTGGCACCTGGCACATGAGCAGGTCCCGAATCCCCTCCAGGAGCCCCACTCAGCCCTGACCTGTATGTGCCCCCAGAGTGCGGGCCCCTGGGGCCTCAGGCAGCCCGTGAGAGGGCCCGTCTGCCCACGGTCCTCGCGCGGGAGGAGAACACACATTTTCTGTTGTGCCACCGCTTCCTCTGCTGCGTGCAGAAGTGGCTTCCAGAGGCACCAAGCCGACTCTGCTCCCATGTGAGTGGGCGGTGCAGCCCCCGGGGCAGCGCTCAGCCCCCAGCTTCCAGAACACTGCCGACCTCCCCGCGCCCCTGGCCCAGGCAGCTCACCCGTCTGAGGAAGGAAATCCCACCCTGGGGCAAGCTTGGTATGTCCGTCCCCGGCTCCTGCGGCTCACAAGCCCCTGGGTGCCTCCCAGCCACTCCTCCCTGGGGGGCCCCTCTCAGTGGCCGCCCGCCACTGGGTCTCTGCTCTGGGGCGGGCACCTCGCAGGTGCTGCTGCCTGACAGCCGGGAGCATCGGGCCCATCTCTTTGAAGGGCAGACTCCCGCCCGTGGTCCTCCGGGACCAGGCCACAGACCTCAGGCAGAGAGCCCCCAGGGGCCGCTCCGCTTCCCAGTGCAGGTGGTTGGGGGGCCGATCTGAGACCTGAGGCGGGACAGGCAAGGCCCAGTGACCCTCTGGGCCCGGTCCTGCTGGCCTATCTGGGACCATCAGCCTGAGAAGGTTAAGACCACTTGGGGAACAACTGTTTCTAGTCTCCCTTTGTCTGGATTTTCCAGGTACAACCTGAAATCCCTGCGAAGTCACCAAGCTTTCTGTGGCTTTAGACACGCATCCCGGCCACGGTAGTTGCCGGAAAAACAGGCACAAGGGGGGCTCGGTGGCTTATCTACTCTTGGTGCGCAGCTGTCGGTTCCCCATGGGCGTCTCCCCCTGAGCAGGTGGCCCGGGGTGGGGAGGAACCAGCGCGGGAGCCCCTTGGGCCCAGCCCGTGCTCACAGAGCAGGAGCCAGTGGCCCGGGGGCTCTGGGTGTGCTGTCTGGCCGGTCAGAGGAACGGTGTAGAGTGCGTGCCTCCCGCTGGACTCTCGGGCTGACAAGGACAGAGCTGGTTTAGAGACGACTCTGTGAGGGAAGGCAGCCGGCACCCTGGACGCCGCCCCCACCCGCCAGGGCCCGCAGTGCCTGAAGACCGGCCCCCACTCCGTGCTCTGCAGGCACTGTGGGTGCTGTCCTGGGGGCCCTGGTCCTGTCTCCACAGGCGATGTGCTCTGACGCACTTCCAGGTCACACGCACGTCATGTCTTGGCTCATTATGTCACCAGGAAAAATTCCTGGAGAGGATTTTATGTGATCAAAGTTAAACACATTGAGGATTTGGGAAGCACATTGCAAAATTGTGCCCCAACATGTTTGTGCCCATTGATGGTCCCGTCAACACAGGAAAGGGCACCCACTTCCTCACTTTCACTAACACTAAGAATCAAGGTTCTTTATTTTTGCCAACCTCACCGGCAAGAAAAGATTACCGTTTTGATGTCTATGTGCATGCTTCTTTGATTACAAGCGGTGTTGAGCATTTTTTTGGGGGGGATTTTTGGAGTTGTTTTTATTTCTTTTGTGAATTATCTGCTTATTGGCTTTGAAACTTCCTATTTTTATTGATTTGTAAATGTTCTTTACATATTAAGGACCTGCTGTTGTATCCCATAGGATAAATACAAGATTTGGCATAGAGTGATTGCTCACTAAGCATCTGTTGAATGACTTAATTTGTGGTTTAATCTGATTTCCCCAAAGTCATTTTCCCTCCTCTTTCTCCAGATCATTTTGAACTCTCAGAGCAAACTTCTCAGTAGGCTCGATGAGATGCACGACGGGCACTAGAGAGCCTGCTGGAGCCACCATGATTCCTGAACCCTCACACACGCCAGGTGAGAGCCTCCCGTCGCGTCTCCTTAGACTTTAAACATTCGGGAGGGAGCCTGTGAGAGTTTCCGTGCTTTGCCTCAAACGGGGATACTTACTTCAAAACGTAGCGTGCAAAAACAGGTCTACTGAAATAAGAGCCACCTCCTAACCAGGGAAGGGCAGGCCCTCCGCCGGGACATCCGGAGGTTTTTATTCTTCCGAGGTGCCAGGAAAACACCAGGACCAGGACTGAGGGCCATGGGGCCTCCGAGCATGCCTGTTTCTGGAGCAGAGCAGAGCCCCAGGGCTGGCTCACCCCGTCTCCTGGGGTTTCGTCCGCCCCCACCAGGGAGCTCTTTTCCCTGAGGTCAGGGTTCCCGGTGTGGACCTGCGGGGGAGCTCCAGCAAAGACGGGGCGCCCTCTCTCTCTGGCCTGAGAAACGCGGCGGCAGGGCCGCCTTCTCCCTGTGCGCCTCCACCCGCCAGCCGCTGCTGCTCCAGTCTTGGGGGAAGAAGGCACAAGCGGCCTGACCGTGCTCACGCCCCCGAGCGCCAGCACCTCACCTGCACGTGGGGACGTGGGGGCGGCTGCACCTGTCCAGGGCCTTAGGCAGGGAGGGCCCAGGGAAGCCGGCCGCGCGGCCACCCGCCTGCATCACGTCGGTGACTCCTACAAGCCCAGACGCTGCGCTGGGGAGGCTGGGGAGGAACTGGACCCCGAGCGCTGCTGGCGGGAGCGCAGGGCCAGTGGCCGCTGGGGAAGGCCACTCGGCGGTTCCTCAAAAAGCTGAAAATAGAACTTCCCTGTGATACGGCAGTTCCACTTCTGGGCGTTTACCCGAAAGAAGTGAAAGTAGGGTGTCGAGGCGGCGCTCCACGCCCACGGCCAGGGCAGCGGGAAGGGCGGACCGCGGCACGGCTCGTGGGGACCGCCTGCTGCCCCTCCGCGGACCGACGCAGGAGCGAACGGCTCCAGCCCACACGCGGCTGTGACTCATCTGCGCCGGCTGGGGCGTGGGAGGCCCTCGAGGACGTGGTCTGAGGGAGAGAATCCGGGCCCAACAACACCCACGTGGGGGACATCTGGAGCATGGGGGGCAGGCGGCAGTGCACAGAGAGGAGCCCCCGCCTCATGGGGACGGGGCGTCGGTCTCACAGGATGACAAGCGTCCTGTGGAGGGACAGCAGGGGCAGCTGCTCGGCAACAGGAATGTCAGGACGGCCCTGAGCTGCCCGCGTGAAAACGCAAAGACGGTAACTTTTCCATCATGTGTGTTTTACCAGAAGGAAAGCACCGGGGGAGGCGAGTGAGTGGAGGGATGGGGCGTTGGGGCCCGCCGGGAGGCTAACTGACCCTGTCACTCAGGGGTGCACTGTGGGAGGCCTGAGGATGAAGCCCCAGCAGGGAAAACGCTGCGCCCTGCCTCAGTGGCCCTGCCCGGCCAGGCCGCGGAGGCCCCCTCAAGGCGTGTGCGCGCCCGCAGGAGCCCTGGCCAGACCCCCACGGCCAGGTCAGCATTTGGGATGTGCTGCTTTCCTGACTGCCTGGATGTCTGCAGGGAGAGGCCACGGTGCAGTGGCTCCGGGGCCGCCAGGCTAGAGAAGCACTAGCCACCTTCTGCGCTGTCCCTGAGGCCAGCCGGACCGTGGAGGGGGCTGCCGCAGCCACAGAAGCCATCGGCCTGCGTTGGTGTTGGGCTGGCGGCCGTCCACGGCTCCCCGCTGACCTCAGGAGCATGAGCACACTGCGGGGGGGGAAGGTGGGGTCCAGGAGCCCAGAATCTGGGAAGCACATGTCCGCACGAAGGCCACAGACGTTCATCTCCATGACGGGTTCCAGAGGAGGGCAGGGTGGGAGGAGAGGGTCCAGGGAGGCTCTGGGTGCAGGTCAGGTGGTCAGGGGCCCAGGAGGGCAGGCTGGGCAGGAGTGGGACGTGGCTGGGATGTGACAGCTTTGTTCCCTGTGACGGGTCCCCAGAGAGCGTGTGAGTCATGGCCATGTCCCGACCCTTAGTGCCGTGGTCACCCCCACAGCACAGCACTATGTCCTCATGACTCACCCACCCACCATGTCCCCTGCCCCTCCGGAGCACCTGTGAGGGAGGACAGGTGAGGACCAACCTCGGGCTCCGGCAGCGCGACCGTGGGGTTGGATGGGATGATGATTGGCAGGAGGGTATCAGGTTGCACCTTCCTCCAGGGTCCTCCATGACAAAGGGGCACTAGAGCAGGGCCTTGAGGAGCCCTGTGACCGGGCCTGGACGGGACATGGCAGGGGGCACTCCCCTGGGCCCCCATTTGGCCTGTCAGCCGGCCTCAACACGCTCCCGCTACGAAGGACCTCAAAGCCCAGGCCACCCAGCGGCAGGGCCCCGTGACAGCTGGTCTCCCCCGTGGGTGTTGGGCTGGCTCCGTGCTCGAGACAGTGCACGGACGGGGCCCCTTGGGTCCCCGGGATGTCAGGGTTGCTGGAACTGCAGAGTGCCGACCGTCTCTGGGCCCTGGACTCCTCATGGCATCGCATGGTGACTCCAGCGAGAATCAGCAGATCGAGGACAGGCCGGAGGCCACGAGCGCCGACGGGTGGGACCAGGAGCCTCGCGCAGCTGGCACAGGGAGCAGAGCCCTGAGGGGCCAAACGGGGGGTCTGTGTGCAATGGTGGCACTTATGTGCTCTCAGACGCAGAGGCTCCAAAGTCAGACCAATGGATGACGGCTCCTCATGGCCTTAGAGGCTGCAGGACAGGTGTCCGTGTACTGAAACTAAAGCAGACCCTTGGGGACCCGCCGCAGGAACGGGTGAAGAAGGCGTCCTGCGCTCCTTCTCCACAGGCGGAGGAGGTCCTGAGGCCAGAGGGGGCGAGGGGAGCCAGCAGAGCCCCTCCGTGTGGCCCGTCCCGCGCAGGGTGGACAACGGTGCCCACACAAGAGGCTACAAACTTAGGACCCGCCACGCCCGGGCCGGAATGGCACCGGATGGACTGTGCCTGGGGCTCCCGCACACTCAGGAGGCCGCAGGCTCTGACGAGCTCCAGACACCGCCAATGCGCACGGTCTGTTTCCGCCGTGGTCCCTGCGAGACGACACACAGACCAAAGGGTCGTTTCCCACCAGCAGAGGTGGGAGTCAGGATTCAAGACCTGAATAAACCCAGAGGGAGTGTGTGCCTGCTCGTCCGGAAGAGAGGCTCGGTTCCAGCCGCGCTGTCCCCGTCCCTCCCAGGGTCTGCCCGGTGTGCGTCCCTGTGTGTGGAGGCTTTGGGCCGTCCTGCATGACCTCCTGGTAACCCGACGGCCTCTGCAAACACTGGCTCCACACTCAGCGGTGCTCTGAGCTGTGGGGAGCAGGTCTCCACCGCATCTTTCCCAGGGGTGGGGAGCATAGTTCAGCCGGTAGCAGAAGACGGAAGGGGAATAGAAACAAAAAGGGCAGATGGGGCCACACAGCGGGGCGGGGGGCGGGGTGCAAAACCGTGTCAGTGTGCACGACCGCAGCGGAACAGAGCGCAGACCGTCCGGTTTCTGAATCCAGCGGGAGCTTCTCGCAAGCGTGGCGCCTGAAACATGGGGATGCCGACGTGAGGAGGTAGGAGCGTGGGAAAAACACCCCGAACGCACAGTCGTCAAAGAGAGCTCGTTTACCTCCAGCAGAACGGACTTCGCACTCACAGCATTATTAGAAATGAGGCCTCCTTCCCACGGCAAATTCCTACAAGCTTACAGGCTACAAAGTGCAAACTCACTGTCGTCATTGTCCTGGGGGGGCCACAGGAGACGGGCTCCATCGGGGGGGCCGGGGCAGCAGCCGCTCCCCTGACTGGGCTCCGGAAGCCGCTGCATCCCGGGGCTCGCGGCCCCTTCCTCCCTCTCCCAAGCGTCCAGTGGCTGCTGGAGCCGTCCCGTCCCTCCACACCCATCTCCTGGACGCAAGGACCCCGTGCCTACCTCGGGCCCCCGGGTCATTCGAGACCGCCCCCCTCTTGCTCTGTCAGCTGCGTCCTCGCCCCCGTTGGCCGGGTAGCCGGACCTGCACAGAAGCCGGCGAGGGGACCCCGTTCATGGGCTCTGGGTTGAGCCTGGGCAGCTCTCGGGGGAGGCCATCCTGCCTGCCGTAGGGATGAAAGCATCAGGACACGATGACCCGGGGCCGGTTCCTCTGCAGCCACAACCAGGCATGGGTCAGGACAGAGAAAGCCAACCTTGGGAGAACCTCAAGGAAGAGGGGGCGTGCCCACCATCAGCACAACGGGGCGCTTCGTCGTTTCCTCCGTAACCGACAGTCGAGGCAGGCTTTAGTCAGGACGGCGCCGTGCCCAGGCAGGGGCGGGGTGGGCGGAGCGTCCCGCCTGTGGGAACCCGTGCTCGGCAGGGGACCTCGGGGCGCTGCAAGGACGGGGTCCGGCCCCAGCCCGTGCATCCGTTCACGACGCTGTCCGGTTGGAGACCAGAGATGGGAGAGGCCTTTTAAGGAGCCCATTCGGAGCGGTGCCCCCAGTGTGTCCAGCCCGGAGCCAGCTCGAGTCTCGCCCTTTCTTAGTGCCACGACGTCTCTCCCGGGGGGTTCCCAGGGACACCTGTCCTCACGCTTGTCTCTGTCCCGCAGGAAACGCCAGCACCGCGACCAGCCCCGTGCCAGTGACCAGGCTTCCCAGCATGAACACCTCGAGCTGTAACGCGTCCTTCGAGGACACCAGAGTGTTCCTGGTGAGCGTGTACAGTGCAGTGTTCGCCATGGGGCTGCCGGCCAACTGCGTGACGGCCGGGCTCACGCTGCTGCAGGTGCTACAGGGCAACGTGCTGGCCGTCTACCTGTTCGGCCTGGCACTGTGCGAGCTGCTGTACATCAGCACGCTGCCGCTCTGGGCCGTCTACATCCAGAACCAGCACCGCTGGACCCTGGGTGTCTGGGCCTGCAGGGTGACCGGCTACATCTTCTTCTGCAACCTGTATGTGAGCATTCTCTTCCTGTGCTGCATCTCCTGCGACCGCTTCCTGGCGGTGGTGTACGCGCTGGAGAGCCGCGGCCGCCGCCAGCAGCGCACTGCCGTCCTCGTGTCCGTGTCCGTCTTTGTGCTGGTCGGGCTCGCCCACAGCCCGGTGTTCAGAATGGGAGAGGAGCCGACATGCTTCGAGGCGTCGATGGACACCGAGGTCGTGGCGTACTACTACCTGCGCTTCGCCCTGGGCTTCGCCGTCCCGCTCGCCGTCATCGCCTTCACCAACAGGTGCATCTTCAGGAGCATCAAGCAGAGCGCGGGCCTGAGCGACGCCCAGAAGACGAAGGTGAAGCGCTCGGCCATCGCGGTCGTGACCATCTTCCTGGTCTGCTTCGCCCCGTACCACCTGGTGCTCCTCACCAAAGCCGTGGCCTATTCCTACTACAGGGGACAGCTGGACGTCACGCACAACTTCGAAGTCAAGCTCTGCCAGCTCTCCGCGGTGTTCCTGTGCCTGTCCACGGTGAACAGCGTGGCCGACCCCATCATCTACGTGCTGGCCACGGACTGTTCACGGCAAGAAGTGTCCAGAATCCACAGGGGGTGGAAAAAGTGCTCCGCGAACACCGACGTCCCCAAGCACACATGTTCGAAGGGCTCAGAGGAGCTGTCGCTGCCCACGTTGCCCGCAAATGACTACACGTGTCCCGGGGCCGTCCACCCCCTGGAGTCTGGGCCGACCACATGGAGCTCATCACTGGACACCTTGGAGAGGCTGGATGAAGAGTCCCACTGAGCCCGGTGTCCTGCAGGGCAGGGCGGCCGGCATGGGAGCCAGGGGGCCTGGGGTGTGGTTTCCCCACCCACTGAACTTGCCGACCAGGGTCCACGGTGCTGGCTGTGAAGTCCCCTCTGGAAAACATGCCACCACTTTCTCGCTCCTGGAACCATGCCCTCCATAAGCCCTGACCCTTGGATCCTGGCACCCCTAGGCTGTCCCACTGAGCCCCACACAGAAGGTGGCCGCATGCGGGTACTCTGGCGGCACATGGCAGGCAGGATGGCCTCTTCCTCAGCTCTCAAGCTCGCTGGCTCACCCTGCTATTAGCAAACAGCAGGGCCGTTGGCAGAGGCCTCAGGCCTGCCCGGTGCTGCCAGCAGCTGGCCGTGCCACGCCCTGGGTATGGCACTGTGATACCCTCATTTTCCATGCCCTTCTGCAAGCACCGCTTGGATGACTGTGATTGTACAACATGGGACCTTTGTGTTCTGCCTCAAGATGCCCCTGCCAACTGGGCCCTCCACATAGTGCCTGGTTGTGGGGAGACCACCGAGGTCTGCGAGTGGGGGGCAGCGGCCCAGCCCCAGGGGCCCCAGGCTGCTCTGTGCTGAGCCGGTCTGAGGCCGCAGGCTGCTGTGGACCCCACAGGCGAGCTTCCAGCAGGGCGGCCAATGTATTTCCTGGAGGGTGCCCAGGTCGGAGATGCTGGTGGACACCCCAGGGAGGGTGACATGGCCGGCAAAGGGGCTCAGAGAAGAGTTGGAAACCCTCCACATCAAGGCTCCCTGGCATCACTGGCAGGGGAGCGGACGCTGAGGACTCGGCAAGGGGCATCGGGAGGGAGCAGGTGACGCCCCGGGCCTCCAGCCCCGCGGCAAGGTGCAAAGCGCGGGTGGGGCTGGAGCCAGGCCCGCCACGAGGCCCGGACTCGGGTCCCGGCTCTGCCCTGGCCAGCCTCGTCACGGCCAGGTCACGGGCGGCGTGGCTTTCCTGCCTGTAACAGGGTCAGTGACACCTACCTCACCGGTCAGCTTCGGGGGCTGACCCACTACCTCCGCTCAGGCCCTCTGAAGCAGGAGCCCGGCAGGCTGCACGCCCCACGGAGGGCCCAGGCGCCCCCAGGCACCTGCCCTTCACAGGTACGGTGCCGCGGTGCCGAGTTACATTCTCGTGTCTGTAAGGCAGCCAGCCGTCCACTGTCCTTTCTTGCTGTGAGAGACACCGACCAGATATATTTAGAAAATAAGCCTGGAAATAAAGATGCAAAATGCACGCCAGTCCCGGGTTCCTTTCTTATTTATTTATTGGACAGAGATCACAAGTAGGCAGAGAGGCAGGCGGGGGCGGGGGGGAAGCAGGCTCCCCGCTGAGCAGAGAGCCTGATGCGGGACTCGATCCCAGGACCCTGAGACCATGACCTGAGCCGAAGGCAGAGGCCCAACCCACTGAGCCACCCAGGCGCCCCAAGTTCTTTTCTGATGAAATGATGTCCTTTACCTCTTTGGGCACACGCTTTCCTCCAGGGCTCTCTTGGAGGGGTGTGTGCCCCCGGGCTCTCCGAGTGATGGGCCGTGGCTTCTTGGAACCGTCTGGAGTGCTCTGCGCTGGGGAGACAGCCGCATGCTGGCGGCAGGCGCCATGAGCCTTCCACAGTGTGCTGTGCGCTGCTTTGCAGGGGCTGCTGTAACCAATTAGCACAGGCCGGGGGGCTCGAAATGGGACGTGTTCTCTCCCAGCTCTGGGGCTGGAAGTCTAAGATCAAGGTGTGGGCAGTGCTGGCTCCTTCGGGGGGCTCTGGGGAGGACCTGTCCTGGCTCTCCTCTCAGCCTCGGGTGGTGCCGGCCGTCCCCAGCCCTCCTCCGGTCTCTGCCTCCCTTACACAGCCCTTCTGGGGAGCCTGTCTGCATCTCCTCTCTGTCTCACGGCCACATGTGGGCTCCAGTGGCCATCGGGACGCACAGATGCTGCGGCCCAGTGTGTCCTGCCGGGGCGACCGCTTTCTGTCCTCTTTCCTCGGGGAGCTCAGAGCCTGCCCCTTGGGCACCAGGGTGACCAGGCTGTCTGAGGGCCCCTGGCAGGTGCACAAATGTCCCAGTGTCTTCCTGGGTCTTTCCACGCTTCCATGCTTCAGCCTGAGAAGCTGCCACAAGCCGCCTGGTCCTGGAGCCTCGGTACTGCCCTGGGACCAGCGTTTTCAAGACAGGAGGGAAGGACAGCAGGTGGGCCGGGGTTCACCCGCACGAGCGGCCCCAGCTCTGGGCGAGGGATCCCGTGGACGCCTCCTGAGGCGGCCAGTCGCGCGGTGCTGGGGCAGCCTCCACCCTGGTGATGGGAAGGTCCCAGGACGCCCGCTGCGTGGGCGGGGCCGGCTGTGGGCGGGGCCCTGGCGGGGCGGGGTCTGGAGGCGGCAGCCCGGGCAGGCGGGGCCGCCGGTCCAGGGTCAGAAGGGGTGACCTGAGGGTCTCCTTCCCTGGGAGGGGGTCTCAGGGGGCGTCTGCAGTGACGGCATGGGATGCATGAAATTAGAAAATGTGTATGAGGAGGGACAGTGACCACTGGGGACAAGGAGAAGCTCTGTGCGAAGGGCCCAGCCAGCTCCGGTGTCCACACTCAGACACCGACCAATCCTCTGTCCACGGTGTGCAGGCTGCGTCCACCTTAGCTGGGGTGCTGCTAGGGCTCCCCGATGCCGTGGGTCAGGCACATGCTGGATGCGGGGGCACCCAGGGCAAGTCCTGCGGGCAGCAGGCAGAGGGCAGCGGGCCCGAATCCCAGCCGGATGGGGCAGTGGGGGAGGACGCGGGCAAGGGCTGGCCTGGGGGCCAGGGCCCAGCCCGCATCAGCACCCCATCCTGGCCGTGCTGCCCTCCTCGATGAAGAACACTGACATTGTCTTCACTCACTGAGCGCAGACCCTTCACCTTTCCATCTGACTCAAGTTGTTCACGGAAACTTCTCTGGGGAGCCGTGGGCTTGCCGAGTGCTAGTGACCAGACCAGGTGTCCGCGCACGAGACCTTTCCTCGCGCACCTACCTGCTCCCTCTCTCACACACTCACTCTGGGCCTCACTCCTCCTGCGTTCATCAGCCCTGCCGCAAAACGCTCCCTGGGGCACTGCGGGGAGGTCCCCCCAGCAGTCCCGCGGTCAGTGCTGGAGGTGGGAGCCCAGAGGCCCCCACAGCATGGCCCCCACCTGGGGTGCATGCCCACACCCTACCCTCCTGGGCTCTCTCCTCAGGTGTGTCCAGACTGGGTGGGCTCCCTGGGATGGGGAGCATCCTGCCGTCGGCTCCTGGGACAGGGCCTGGGCCTGAGTTGTCCCCTTCCTGTTCCTCAAGGAACCATGGGGGACAGGCGGCCACATGCGTGGCGAGCTCGGTGCTGGCCGGGAACCCAGCCAGGCTCACCCCACATTTCAGCACCCACACGGACCAGACGTCCTCTTTCTTCCTGCCCTGGTCGGGCACGGGGTCGGCCCCTCCTCAGCCCACCCCAGTCTCCTGGCCCTGCTGGTGGCACCCTGCATGCATCCCTCAGGAGAGGCCAAACAGCGGGGGACGTGGCCTGGGGGTTCTGGGGTGCCGTGGTCCGCAGTTGGTCTAGAAGGGCTGCAGTTCCCCCAGCCTGAAGCCTTCTGACCTCGGAAGGGAGGCTGCAGGGAAGGGCCTTGGGGCAGCCCACATGCAGGCCCTCCTGGGTGACGCCCAGGGAGTGCAGAGCACTGGCCATGGGATGTCCCAACAGAACCCCGAGCGCTGGACACAGGTGCGTGCTCGCACACCCTCCGAAGCAGGGCCTGGAGGACAGCTCCGTGGAGATGTCTCTTCACCGTTTCCCGGAAGGGCCACAGTACCTGCCCGGGCTGCTGGGGACACTGAGGTCATGCATGTCCCTGGCCCAAGCTGGCCTGACACGAGGGTGTGCCCCGAGTTAGTTAGACACTGGTCTTGGGGTCTGGGGAGGATGCCAGGTCCATTCCTGACAAAGGCCACACGTTCCGGGGGACCTGGAGGAGCAGCGCGCAGACACCAGGGGGCAGCACCACCAAAGCGGCCCGAGCGGGCCCTCCAGGAGGAAGGCCTGGGGACCACAGACAGGACAGGCGGAGACCAGCAACCTGGGGGCTGACGCCAAAAGCCCCCTGGGCCCAGAGCTGGGTCTGAGAAGAAAAGGAACGGGGAGTGGCCTTGAGCCCTGGTGACAAGGGACAGCCACAGTATTGTTGTCAGTGATATCAGCCCCTCCCCGCCCCCCACCAGTGAGACGTGGCAGGGGCAGGGGTGCTGCGAGGGGGTGGAGGCCACCAGGCAGAGACTCAGCTCCAGGGCAGGGCAGCGTGGCGGCGGCCAGGCGAGCGGTGGCAGAGGAAGCCCTCCCAGGACGCGTCTGGCACACCTCCTTCAGGACAGGGCCCCCTTGCTCCCGAGAGTGGGTCAGAAGGGAAGGGTGTTGGTGTGGCCAGGTCCGAGCTCCCGCCCAGAGCTGGCGGTAACCTAGCGGGTGTGGCTGCTTCGGGAAACAGCCTGGTGGCTCCTCAGTCAGCTCCCCAGGAGCCACCCCCGCCCAGCAGCTCCACCCACAGGCCACCCGCGGCTGGAAGCACGCGGACACTCGCAATGGCCAGAGGCTGGACACAGGCTGGACACAGGTGGCCTTTCCCATGGTGGGACACAGGCGGCATCGCGGAGGGACTGAGAACACCACTGAGTGACGGGAGCAGCCACGAGAGGTCACAGCCAGTGGGGTTCCAGTTCTGTGAAATGCCCCAGAACGGGGGACCCTGTAAGGACAGAGCCGAGGAGGGCTTGCCAGGGCCTGGGAGGGGAGGGGGTGACCACCACAGCGTCCAGGGCCCCTCCGGCCAAAGGGGCAGTCCGGGGTCACTGTCGCTCAAAGGGGGGCGGGCTGAGAACCCTGGCCCCCACGGCCAGGAGAGGCCCAGACCCAGCCCCGTGCGGTTTGAGACAGCAGGGAGGGGAGCGGGCAGGGCGGCTGAGGGTCTGCCTTCCAGCAGCCTCAGCCCCGGGCAGTCAGCTGGGGAGGTCAGCAGGGCTGAGTCAGGAGAAGTCACTGTCCTCTGTCACAATCACGCCTGACTGGCCTGGAGAGGAGCAGCCCTGCCCCGCCTGCCCCTTCTGCCCCTGGGTGTGGGCCCGGGTTGGGCTCCGATGGTTCCTCCAAGGGCAGCCTGCTTCCAGATCACCCAGGGGGCCTGGTAAAGCAGGGATGGGACCCAGCCCCACGCTTTCTGAGTCAGAGAATTTGCGTCTGTAACAAGTTCCCAGGAGGTCCTTAAGTGCACACACTGAGAACCTCTGGTCTCAGCCCAGTGCCATCAGAAAGGCTCGTATCCCATTCCGGTCAGTGAGAGGTGGGCTGGGGATTCAGTTTGCTTCCTGGAGGAAAGGCTCTCCCTTCCCCTGGACCAGCTGTGAGGCCAGGTGCAAGGTCCGGAGCTGCAGCAGCCACTCGGAGACTGT